GCGGTTCATTCCTCTCGAGTCTGCGTGTTCCGGGCTTGTCCGCGGTGCGTCCTCGACACTCTCCCTGGCTCACCCCGGCCTTCGGGGCCTCGGCAATCGCGCCATGAAAAGGGCATTGTTCGTGGCTCACGGTCACGGCAGACCGGCCTGGCTCTCGCCTCACCTGGCTCATCACCGCTCTAACGCGGCCCCGCAGGGGCAGGAGCCACGGCCCGGGGTGTGGACGCCACCCCGCGTTTGGCTGCAGACGCCGGGGACGGTAACATGTGCACCTTCGGGGAAGGAAATTGTTCACCTGGAATTTGAGGTGAGTTTTTCCTCCTCGCGGAGCCAGGAAACTATTCGGAGTATGTTTGTGATCTTATCGCTCGCGCTCTGCCCGGCTCTCATCCAGGAATGCACGAGGGCCCTCAGCGGTGTGTGCGGAAGGTTCTGGAATGAAGTCCTCAGTCACCACCCGCTGTCGCTGTGCGTCCATGAGACGGCCCACGGCAGCTGCATTGCTGGTGGTTGCTCTCTTAGCGTAGGTCTCTAACTCAGCGTAGGTGCGTTAGATACTGAGTACCTTCTCCATCTGCTTACAAGGCGTCGCTCAGAGGCCTTTGGGGCCGGGTGGTGTGGGAAGCCACCCAAACATCTCTCTGTGAAACAATTTGGAGACCAGACGTTTCTCTGAGATCAGCAAATTCTTCATTTAGTGCCTGTACCCTGAGTTAAGTTTGCCTGTTGATTCTAACTTTGTGAAGAAAACGGGAGTAATGTCCAGCCGGTGTGGCTCAGTGGTTGAGCATCGACCTATGAACCAGGAGGTCACGGTTCAATTCCCAGTCAGGGCACAGGCCCGGGTTGTGGGCTGGATCCCCAATGGGGGGCGTGCAGGAGGCAGCTCATCCATGATTCTCTCTCATCACTGATGTTTCTCTCTCTCCCTCTCCCGTCCTCTCTGAAATCAATAAAAACATATTGGGGTGAGAGGGGAGGAAAAAGGGAAGGAAAGGAGCCTCCGTAAGCATTTCTGATGTGTTGGGCCCGGCAGCTAACCGGCACCGTTTAAACCTTAGCTCAGACGACAGGGCAGGGCGTGTGGCCTCCGTCTAAGCAAGAGGAACCGAGACCCATCGGGCCAGGCCGTGTCCTAGTGCAGGGCTGGGCTAGAGGCCGTGGTGGTCGTCCCAGCCTGCCCCCTGCCCTCTGCCCTCTGCCCTCACCTCCCCCCACCTCCCTCCCCGTTCTCTCCACACCCACGTCCCTGCGCTAGGGGAGGAGGCTGCACCGCAGTCGGCTCTGCCCTCTCCTCTGGGGACCGTTCTCCAGCTCTCACTCCCGTAGGCCCGGCTCCAACGTTAACTTTGCAACTTTATTCTTTCTTTATTTATTTAAGATATTTGTATTGATTTCAGAGAGGAAGGAAGAGGGTGAGGGAGAGAAACATCAATGAGAGAGAGAATCATGGATCGGCTGCCTCCTGCACGCCCCACACTGGGGATGGAGCCCACAACCCGGGCCTGTGCCCTGACCGGGAATGGAACCGTGACCTCCTGGTTCATAGGTCGACGCTCACCACTGAGCCACGCCAGCCGGGCAACTTGGCAACTTTAAACCAGCCCAGCCTACGAGGACACGTAGGGTTTTCTGCCCGGAGCTCCTGGGTCTCAACTGGAACCTCCACAGCATCCGTCCTTCTGTCCGGCTAAAGCCAAGAACATCAGGTGGCGAGAAAGTGAGGCCCCGCCCAGACCGCGGGGGGGGGGGGGGGGGCGGGGGCGAGGTGGAAGCTGTTGGGAGCGTAGAGAGGGGCCGCTGACCCCTGGAGGTCAGACGGGAGTGGTTTTTCTCTGCTGAGAGCGAAGAGGAATTTGGGGACGTTTCAGGGAGGAAATCGCATTTAAAGAACTTGGGCCTTGCAGGATGGGGCAGGAGGACGGGGCAGGACTCCCTTCAAGCAAAAAGGAAACGGGAACAAAGACACAGGCAGGAGAGCGAGGGCCCTGGTGGGAAAGGGTGTGCACGGTGCTGTGTTGTCAACAACTCAGCCTCGTAAACAGCCCGGCCCCACATCGGCTATAAAACAGCATTCCAGCCCGGCCAGCGTGGCCCAGTGGTGAGTGTCGACCTGTGAACCAGGAGGTCACGGTTCCATTCCCGGTCAGGGCACAGGCCCGGGTTGTGGGCTCGATCCCCGGTGCAGGGTGAGCAGGAGGCAGCCGATCCATGATTCTCTCTCATCACGGATGTTTCTCTCTCTCTCCCTCCCTCTTGGAAATCAATAAAAACATATTTTAAAAAACAAAGCAGTGTGTTCCGTAACCAAGTGCATTAGAGCAAAGGCTGCCACACGTCTGGGAATGTGTGTCTGTAGGCGTGGTCACGGTGCCCGTGTTGATGTTTCGGTCCTGTTTCCTCTGATTCTGCAGAAGGAGACGCCGCTGGCCAACGCCGCGTTCTGGGCCGCGAGGAGGGGAAACCTGGCTCTGCTCCGGCTGCTACTCACCAGCGGCCGTGTGGACGTGGACTGCAGGGACAGTGTACGCAGGCCCCCTGGTCACGCGTGCCCCGGGCAGGAAAGCACCTCCAACACGTTTCCCTCCCGGGGCT